CGGTGTATATAGATGAATTTTCCCTCCAAAAAACAAAAAAAATTAGATTCCTATGATGATTAAGACTATTTCCACATGCAATAAATACAAACAAGGACTCGATAATCACAATCTTATTACCAATAAAGTTACCACTTCAAAGAGACATTTCATCAAATGAGGCGTGTGCATAATAGCTGCTATGAAGTTAAATTGAAAATGTAAGAGGAAAAAAAATACAAATATAGTAACGGTGAGACTCATTTGTACCCAAGAGTTCATTGGTTCAAAGCACGGTGGTGTATCCCCTAAAAAGGATCAGGTAAGGCTTCTTACAGCGATAACATAATTGATAACCTTTCTTCTCATGTTCGAGAGGTGAGAAACTCTCTGAGCTCAAATGAACATTACAAAATTTGGCTTAGCTATTCAACTCCCGACTAATGGTTAAATACCCCACTAAGAGACCAAAATGGAGAAAATTTCCACTTAACTCCCAACAATCTTCTTCATTTCAAACTTCTCTTGTATCAACACAAAAATAGGTTTGACAACGAATAAAAGCAAGGGATCTGATGGCTAGTCAAATGGACAAGTTCTCCAATTCGACAATTGATGAAGAATCAAAATCAAAATGCTAAATCAAATACCTTTAATGTTACTTTTGAGATATTATAGGGGAGATATAAATGGTCAGGGATGGAAGGAGACGCCAAGGAATGTGGCAGAAGGAACGGGGATAAGAGAAGGAAGTGATTAACGAGTAACAGAACCGTCAATCTCTGACGTTCTGAGTGAGAGGAGTCATTGGATATCTCTAAACAATTTTGAGAGGTGTATCTCAAAGCATAGTTCTTTCATTGATTTTTGAAGACAAGACCCTAGATGGAAGGAGAAAGCAAGATATGGCAGCAGATGAAACAGTAAGGAGAGAAGGAGATGAAAACAAGATTAAAGATGGAAACCTAGGAGAAATTGAGAAATTATTTAATGTTTTGAGAGAGAGAGAGAGAGAGAGAGCAATAAATAAATTGATCTCGAACCAGAGATGTGTGAAAAAAGTCCTAGAATCGTGATTTTGTGCTCAGGAATACATAGACGGTGTTTTGTTAAAAGAAACATAAAACGACATGTCTACACGACACACGTTTTATAATAGGCGCGCTTTATGTTTTTTTTTCTTTTCTGACACTAATTTTAGGGCACGCACAAATGTGTATTCTCTATCCTTCAAATTTTAGAAAATTAACATTATTTTTAGGACAAAAAAAAATATGTATCGTAGATTCATGTGTGTCAGTGTCCGCATGTCATTAAAGGACTGTTTTTAATAGTGTATGATGTTTAGATGGATAAAGTTTTAAAATTTATCCATAACAAGGTCACAAACTTTCAAGATCTAAACTTTATGCATTAAAGTGACCAAAAGCTCATAACACTTAAAACTAGCTAGATCAACAAATGCATCATCAAGATTCAAACTCTATACCTCTAAAAGATAAATCAAGGTGAATAAAGTCTGGATTTAAAAGCTCCAGTGCAACCAACACTTCTCTAATGAGCTCTTTCTCCATCAAGATGCACCAAGAATACTCCAAAGCACTTAAAAACACCTCCTTTTTTTATCACATGACTCAAACTAGGGTTAGGGTTTCAAGGAAGGGTGTTGGAGAGGTGGAGGCTAAGAATGGAATGAGTTTGGGGAAGTTAAGGAGCTTAAATACGGCTCAAATCACATATATATGGTTTGGGCACTGATCGTGTAAGCCTAACATACTCCATGTATGCGTAGTGTTCCCAACATACTTGACTAAGCCCTAAAATCTGTCTAACTTCAAACGGTCATAACTTCTTCGTTCTAACTCCATTTTCGACGATCTTTATATCCATGGAAAGGTAATGAGAAGCTGTGCAATCCTATCAACTCTCTTTTGCCTTAAAACTTTCCCATCTTAAAATCCAAAATGCATAAAAGGGCCGAACTATTAATTTACGGTTATACCCATGGGTTCCAAAGCACCAACCGAAGTCTCGAATCACCTAATCCACATTACCTACATCCAAATGAACATAAATCTCTCTCTCCCTCAAGACCCGAAGCATTATGATAACTGGGTCACGACCCCAAATTATATTACGATTCGAAACAAGGTGTTACACTAAGATAGTCGAAATAGAAAAATAACATAGGGATATTCGAAACAAAAAATAACATGGATATAATCTGAACAAAAAATAATACATGGATCGTCTGAATGAAAAAAGTAACACACTGATAGTTAGTTTGATTGAAAAAAATAACATAAAAGTAGTCCGAACAAAAAAATATATTTAATGTTAATAATAATAATATGTATTTTTTTAAAAATATTAAAAAAAAAAGAAATAACAAAAAAGACAACAAAAAAAAACAAAAACAATGAAAGTTAAAAAAAAAAAAAAAAAAAAAAAAAAAAAAAAAAAAACAAGGTAACTAAAATACAAAAAGGTGTTGAAATGGGAATTAGGGGTACACAAAAAAACCTTTTTTTTGCAAAATACACATATTTTTGTCAAATAAAACACTCATGAATTTTTTTGGCTATATGTTATAAGATTTTAGAGACTGGATGTGGTTTAGCCACAACCCTTGCCACGGTGGTAGGGGGAACACTGCCCCTACGCGGTTTCCAATGCAGTCTCGGTGGGTGTGCTAGAATTTGGTTGCACTTCTGCTTGCTTTCCTCTTTCCCAAAACGGTCAAAGTATTTTGAAATTCAATTTTTTTCATTTATTTTTATTTTACCTATATATAAAACCTACCATCCCTTAATTTATCAAACTTTAATTAAATTTCTTATCTTTCATTATCTTTTTTTTTTTTTTTCCAAAAACTCTTAACATGTTTCATTCCAACAACCCAAACAACCAAAAAACATCCACTATAAACACCCCACGACCTTCTTACGATCAATCCATTTATTCGCCTCTATTTTATCACTATGACGGTATGTTACCGTGTTATCTATAATAACTCACATTACAACACTCACAACCAATATTACCAACACAAACACAACCATAACCCATAAACGACCTAAATTTTAATTTGTTTGAATTTTTATCTCAACCAGAAATTATTCAACAACACAATCACAACCACAAACATCTATTTCTGATTCTGATCCCGAAGTAGTGTTCGTATTGGCACAATCACGCATCGATATTTAAGAAGATGTAATAGCAAGAAAAGACCAAAAACTTTACCGTTTTTGGATGCGGATTAAAAAAAGGTTTTGCAAATGAATGAAGCTTCATGAGTATCATTTAAAACATAAAATTTACTCAAAATGGGGGAAGACAAACAAGGAATTCTTGTTGTTTAATGATTTTTGTGACAACATGACACATCAATGGAAAAGCGGAGAAAACGATGAAGTGGTTTTGAAGAAAGCTCTAAAAGTGTACCAAAAAGAAAACAAGAAGGACTTCAAGTTTATTGACTTTTGGAATCTCGTGAAAGATAACAAAAAATGGTTTATCTTCCAAATCATCATCCATCCTGAAGATTCCAAAAATCTGCAATTTGCGCGGGTACCCGCGCAACAGTTGTGCGACCGACCCCAGCTGCGCAGATTCCGAGTTCCAAATTACCCTCACATGGGGTGCACTCTGATTGTTGTGCGCGGCCATACTCCACCCTCGTAGCCTCTTGCGCGACCAAGAGAAAAATGCTACTCTCCTTTGCGCGACCACCACCTCAACCCATCAGCTATACAAGATTCGCGACCCACCCCAATACCCGACCCATACCGTATCTGTACCCACCTGATAACCCGCTCCATGTTCATTCCTACCCAGACCCGATCCACTATTCGACCCGTACCCACCCACATTTACCACCCACCCTTATAACTCCTTAACCCATCGGACCCCTTTCCCCCTTATTCATCTCGAAGAACTCATGCTCCCACCAACGACCAGCCTCCATACCGCTGCTTCCGACCAGCCACCAATGACGACTTCCGCTGCCGCTGCCTCCAATCAGCGCCACCCGCCATGACATCGACGCCACCAGTCACCGGTCACCAAACTCCTTCCTCTACAGACGACAACCGCCTTTTCTCCCAACTTCTCACCATTGCCAGAAAATTGCAAATTGCTCCAATTGCCCCTCCCGTTCGCTGCTACCCCAACGCTTCTCATCCAGACTCACCCCACACAATTCCGACCACCCTCCACCCTTTTACCACCGGAAACAGCCACTCCGCTACCACATTACCCTCGCTCGCCGAAAAAACGTCCAATCCTCATATCTCCGCCAATTCCTCTCCAAATTCAAATTTTCTTAGGGCATTCTTCACCAAATACTCATGGGAACAACAATCTACTATACATTTGGCCAAATGTTATCGCCGGAAAACCTAGCTCCGCTGCTAGCCACCGCCCATCGCCACCACTACTTTAGACCATATTTCAAAATTTTTGTTTCTCACCGGAGACTCAAAAGATTCAACCTTGTGGGTGAAATTCAAGCTTGGGTGCGGTTTAGCGGTTTTCTTTTCGGGTTTCAACACTCGAATTTGGTAAAGTCCTTTTAATTTTATTGCATTCAATTTCTAATTTGGATAGAATGATGCTATGCATTAGGTTGCTAAGAATTGAGTTGCTTTCAAATTATTGGATTACCCTACTTTGAATTGTGCCAAATTGCAAGTTTGGAGTATTTGTCCGGTTTATATTTTATTAGATTGATTGGATTAGTGTGAGGCGAGTGTGAGGGATAATTTTGCCCAAGTTTTTTTTTTTTTATATGTCTTTGCTAGGTTATATTAACAAGTGAAATGGGCAATAAAAAAACCATTCATGCATCTCATGGTTCTTCCCGTGAAGCTCTATCATCGCGCCCACCTAAAAATGTGTTAACTGAACATGTCGATCGTGATGGAAACCTTGTCCTCACTAGTGCACAAATCAAGCAATTCAAGTCTAACCTCTAAAAACGTGCGATCCGAGCTACACAATTTTACCACCAGGAGTCGATGATCAACCTTGGCACTGACGATTGCTTGCAACAACTATTCTTCAACATAAGTTGGCACGATTTCTTAGCTCTTTCTGCGCACACATACAATCAACCCACACTTGAGTTCCTTTCCACTTATGCGTGGGGCGACACAGAGGAGGTGCTCACATTTAAACTCCAGGGTCGGCAACACCGACTCAAATACGACAACCTCAACACTATCATAGGCATATACGATACACACAACACCGACATCTATAGTTATCAATTGACCCAATTCAAGAGTTTGCCCAAAGTAGAGTTTTGGACTCAAATCACTAGTCTTCTAAACTTCAATCCAAGTCGAAAAAAAGATCCTTACATCATCCATCCTTGTTGGAGAATTTCCCACCGGATCCTTTCAACTTCCATCTTTGGTTGTCACGAGCCAGGACAAATCAACACAGTCGAGCTATATTTCCTCTATTGCATGACTAGCCGTCGTTGGTCTTGCCCCGGTTTCGCCACTTTTTTCTTGGACAAGTGTGATATCATACACATGAAGACCACTAGCGACATTTGCATTGGAGGTCTCATTACCCTAATTGGTTTGGGTGTGGGCCTTCAATTTCCCGAGTCTAAGTATGTGCCAGTGGATGACCCACCTCTCTACCTTCTCGACTGCTTAGCCCACACTAGGATGGAATTATTGGTACCTATCAACAATCGTCAATACTCCTGGCTCAACCACGTCAAGCAACCAGTTTATACTTTACATAATATAAGCATATCCGCCTTTACCACCAGCGACCATGAAACTTGGTTCTTTCCTAAAGAGTTACATGATGATGATGTTGCAGAAGATGATGATGAGATGCAGGTAGACACTGGCCATGCTGGTAGCCCATTCGAGGCCGAAGACCATTATGACCTCCCAATCCGACAACTGCCACCACCCTTTTATGATCAGCCCTCGGGAGCACACTTCGAGCCACAACATGAGTACCATTCCTATCAACAACACAACGAGCCTGAGTTCCCTCTTGACATCTACAGTCAGCTTGGTTCATTGCACCTCCAGGGAAACCAGAATACAACAGTCATTCGACGTATCGAGGAGCAGCAAGCTCGCGCCAGCAACTACATGGATGATCTTTGGTATCATTTTCGTCCCGAAGGCGGTTACCGCCCTCGTGGGCCTCCTCCACCTTGATCCCGGTATGATCCTTCCTTACTCTCATACTAAGCATTGAGGGCAATGCTTAATGTTAAGCTTGGGGTGAGGTATTCTTATATTTTATTTTATTTTTATTTCATTTAAGTTGTATATAGTTGATTCTAGAGTAATTCATTTAGGTCATTCATAAAAAAATTGCATAAAAAAAATTCAAAAATAGTGCATATTTTGTTTCTTTTCTTTCTAATTTTCATACTTTTTAGATGCATTCTAGTTTAAGTTCATGCTTTTTTGTTCTCTCTTACCTTCTCATCTTTATAGGTACCATAGCACCGAGTCATAAGTATTGAATCATATATTGGTCCTGGATCTTGATATGAAATTCCTCGTATTTGATAAATGGGACACGTTTTGAGCCTCACAGACGACTTTAAGACCGCTTGTGTGGGGGTCAGATGCAGGTAGCTTGATTGGGTCTAGGTGCGGAGGGATGTGATTTGTCAAACTGATGTGTGCGAGCAAAGATTAGCCCAGTATCGTATTTTGAAGACATTAAAGACTCGCATCTTGGTTTTAGGGGGAGTACCCCTTAATACTCCCGAGTCTCGTCCGAGCCTTAATTAGTTAGATTCTCACCACTTTTTTAAGATAAGTCATCATTTCTCTAGAGGTCTAGAGTAGATAGTTAGATAGATTTTGTTTATCACACCTTGCATTGAGGTGCTTGATGAACTTTAAAGTGGGTCCCCTAATTCACATCTTTTGGGACCAAGTTTTTTCGGTAACACCCATTTTTGAGTCATACCCCTCTCTTTTAGTAGATCTTGACACATTGTTAATGATTATTAGGTATTCATGTTAGCCTCTATCTATTACTCCATTTTTACTATTGGAGTCCTATGCTACATGGTGAAATTCCTTAGACCTTCCAAGAAAAAGACAAGAAGAAAACACAAAAAAATGAAGACGTTAGAAAAGTGAAGACAAAAAAAACAATGAAGAAGATTAAAGAAAAGAAACAAAAACAAAGAAGAAAATGAAAAAAAAGAGCAACACAAAAAAGAAGAACAAGAATCCAATTTCAAGACATCTCTAAAAAAAAGGCGAGAGAAATAAGAAGACTAAGTATCAAGCAACAAAGAGGCTGAAATCCAAATAACGGAAGTTCAAGATTGAAGATTTAAGTTGTTAGGTTTAGGTTTAGGTTAATTAGAATTTTGAAGATTGAAGATTCAAGATTGAAGCCTCTGAAACCGGATGTTTACCCGGAGGCCGTGCTGCAAAACCCTATTTCGTATTAAACATTTTAGCTTCAAAATTGTGGGAATCATCATGTGTGAAGAGACTCCTTTCTTTCATGCATTATGGTCTGCATTGGTGATTTAAAGTGCCCCCACTGGGTGCATCCCTATTTCCTTTGTCTTGCAACATGCAACTACATCCAAATGTGATCTATTCACCCATCAAGTGGTTAAGAATGTGGTTTATGGCTCTAAAGCGGGGAACATTTTGAAGATGCATAGGGTCCACGAAAGATTGATTCTAGCCATGTTGACCAAGTTCTATGGTATCTTTCTTTTTCCTTTTTAGTTTAGCTCATCCCGAGCTCATTTTAGTCTTGTTCTAACTTAAGGACAAGTTAGGTTTAAGCTTGGGGTGATTTTATAGCTTGTTTTATTTCCTTATTTTTATTAGTTTGTTTTAGTATTTTAGCTATGTTTATTAGTATTGCATTGTATATTGTTTAGTTTATTTATCATGGATCGTGCTGGTGACTTTCTATTTTACATGAGATATTTTGTAGGGTTTTGGAGCTCATTGCGGTTGCGGTTTGATTGGAGTTGGGCTTGGTGGGCTTTCGAGGCATTTTTGGGCTTTACAGATCCATTAAAGGAGATTTGGGCTTAAAAAGGCTAAAGACTTGGATGAAGTGGGCTTGTGAAGATGGATCATGGATTGTTATTTTGGGCTTGGAGCACCCATATTTGAAGCTAAAAGATGATTGGTTAATTTCAATCATGTGGGATATGGAAGGGACCAAGGGAATCTTTGGTAGTGGGATGGTTAGTGGAGGAAAAATAAGCCAATTGCATTCCAACAACACTTGCGTGGGTGGAATCTTTGTCGCGTAGGTACCCGCGCAACTGCCCAGTTTTGTGCATTTTGGTTATTTGGATTGCCATTACCTTGGGGGATCAGATTTATCAACCATAACTTTGATTTTACACCATTGGAGACTAAAAGAAGACGATTTTGGAGCTTGAGACTCATTTCTTTTCATCTTTCCAAGTTATTAGTAGTTTTTTATGCAATTAGACTTTTGTGATTGTTATTCTATTGCCATGAGTGGCTAAACTCTCTATTTTGGTTAACATTGGCTAAACCTTTGAATGTTTGTTGGTTTTTGAAGGATTCTTGTTTATTTATCATTTATCTTATGTTTATGGTTCTAGTTCATATTTCTTATGCTTGTTTAATACTTTGATCATGAGCTTTTTACTTGAATGAGCAATTGTTGGTTTATTTCTTTGGTTTAGAATTGAATCATTGAATTTACTTAGAACAAGGGCTTTATGATGGTAGAAATCATCTCTAGCTTATGAATCATAGCTCATTTATGGATGTGTAAGCATTGACATCCTCTAGGAATTGGGGATTCCTTCATTCTTCAGGCTAATCAACTTCTTGGGTTCAATTGGTTCAATTGATCTTTGCTTTTGATTAAGAAGGTGTGTTGTGGGCTTCCACAACCTCCATACTAATTAAGAGAAATCTTGGTATATCATGCTTCATGATTGCTATAACCAATTTGGGATGAATGATAAGCTTCATATTGAATCCTAATGATAAACACACAAATATTCATTGTGTTGAATTACCTTGGTTAACCAATTCTTTCCAATATTTGAGCATCTCACCATCTTGCTTAATTCCAAGCTTTTTAGTTATTTAAGTCTTTTAGTTTTCAAGCAATCACAACACCCCCCTTTTAGTTTAATTATAGTTAGTTTATTTACACTAATTCTATTAGATTGCATTGGTGATTGAATACAACCATTTCTCCGAGGATTGATACCTCTTTTTACCATTATATTACGTTTTATTTGCAAACAAATGGTGTAATTTGTTTGGTGGACTTGACATCCCACCACAAAATGAGCAAAACATCCGGTAAACATACCGATAGTGGTTCAAAACGTTCAAGAATATCTGAATCCGATCACACTACATCCGATGTTCGTGTTGGTTTCGACCTCAACGATGATGAATCGGTTCAAGTTTTACCACCTTCCTGACAAATGGGAAGAGACAAAGCAAAAAGCAAAGGCAGAGACAAAGACAAAGCATCATAAATTGGGAACAATATGATGAGTATAAAAGAAAGAATGGACAAAATTTTACAAATTGCTTTCGAAAAAAAGCTTCGAAAACAAAGAGATAGTGACATGAAAATACTAATGATGGACACATCGAACATGACCAAGGAGGAGCCTGAAGTTGTTATGGCGATGAACGTCGACGACAAAACGTTATGATAAGTAGGTTTAAAATTTATAGCTATTTTTAATAGATTGATGTGTGTGTTTCTAAATGTTAAGGATTTTTTTAATGTTACGTTATGTTTTTTTAATTAATGCAATGTAATTTTTTTGAAGTAATGGAATAATATGTTTTTATTATTAAAAATAAAGTTTTTATTTAAATTTAATTATTCAAAAAAAGTGTGGCCCCTATCTTAATATGTGGCAATGAACCATATTTTTATGGTAAAAAATAAGTGAAAATAATATGATAAAAATGGAACCATTCCCTTCAAACCTAAGTTTTTTTTTCAACATGTAACGTTTATGTATCATGTCAATGCCACTTCATTTTCATTCATATTTTCATCCTTTTTTTAATGTATGTTATACATTTTTTCCTCTATCATTATGATATTTATTTTGCTATTGTCTCATTCAACGCTAGGGTCGTTTAAATGATCGATGTTTGCTATTATAGTTTTAAATCTTCAAAATTTTCCGCCTCCTTTTTTGCATATTTTTTTCCTCGGTGCTATTTCTTACTCAAGCAAAAAAATCACCGCAATCAAATAGATCGGTACGAGTTGCGGGTGCCTTGTCTTGTCTTTTAAAGTGCTTTTCGGGTCAGTTTGTGGTTGGGTTTCGGGTATGGATTCAAGTTGGGTTTTAGGCATGGAGTCGGGTGAGGGTTTGAGATTGATATAGGTCAGCTTCCAGTGGTAAATACGAAGTGGTTGGGATTAGTATCAGTTGTTTCCACCCGAAAAATGTTAAATGATAGGGTGAAAACATCTAACATTGCTGAAATATCTTCAAAATTTTATATTTATATGAATTTGGAATGCTACTCATAAGACATATTGAAGGTGGTGGAAATGGAATGTAGCCAATTATTTGTCAAGGATCTTGATTTATTTGACCAACCACCAACATGTTTGACAATTCATGATATCACCAACATCCCTATTCCCTAATTGAGTAATCAAATGATAAAAGGAACAGGTCATCTAATCCAACGGTCTTGATCTTTTCCAACCTATGGGTCCGTAGAATGGTTTTATATACAACCCCACGAGGGATAATAATGGAAAATCCAACCAAAAATAGAGACCGTTTAGCTGTGGGGCTCAAAATATGGCCATAAATTAAATATATGTGAACTATATTAAGATCGAATCTAAAACAATATAAAAGTGAGATAAATATATAACTTTTATATTTTAGTTATTTTTTTAGTTTAAACGTATATTTCACCTTTTTTAATGAAAGTTATTTGAGTTTGATAAAATTTTCAATGTGCACCCTTTCCATCTCTTAGGCTACGTATTAAAATGGTTATAATATAAAGTTTTATTAACGTTAATGGTTTTAATGAAATATTTATTGTCAAAATTTAGTGTTCAAATTTTCATTAAAATCATTAAATCTAACAAATTTTGTTGTTATTTTACCGGTCCATAAGCCTATACAAGATAAAAGTGATCGACACAGAAAAAACACAAATTTTCTAGC